AGATGAGGGAATGTTTGGAACTTCCTAGAGACTGGTTAAACGGTTGTACCAAAAAGCTGATGGTGATAAGTATAATGACACAAGGTTGAGGAGGTCTCAGATGGAAATGAGGAACTTATTGGGACTGGAGCATAAATCATTTTTGTTATGCTTTAGCAAAAGAACTTGGTAGAATTGTGCTTCTGCCCTAGGGATCTGTGGAAGTTTGAACTTGAGATAATAATTTAGGGTAAAGACAGAAGAGAATTCAAGATGCAGCCTAATTGCTTTTAACAACCTATGCTCATATGTGTGAGCAAACAAATAATTTAAAATTGTAACTTATATTTAAAGGGGATGCAGAGGGTAAAAGTTCAGAATATTTGTAGCCTGGCCAAGTGGTAGAAAAGAAAAACCCATTTTTAGTGGAGGGACTCAAGAAATCTGCATAAATTTGCATAAGTAAAAAGGAACCAAGTGTTAATAGCCAGGACAATGGGGAAAAGGCCTTGAAGGCATTTCAAAGACCTTAAAGGCAGCTCTTCCCAGCACAGCCTGAATGCCTAGGAGGGCTGGATTGTTTGGCGGCCAGGCCCAGATCCCTGCTGTCCTGTGAGCCTTGACAATGGTCCTAACATCCTGGCCACTCCAGCTTCAGCTGTGTCTCAAAGGGGCCCAAGTACAGCTCTGGTGGCTGCTTCAGAGGGTACAAGCCATAAGCTTTGGCAACTTCCATGTGGTGTTAAGCCTGCAGTTGCACAGAGTGCAAGAGTTGAGTCTTAGGAACCTCTGGCTAGATTTCAGAGGATGTCCAGAAAAGCCTGGGTGTACAGGAAGGAGCCTGCTGCAGGGGTGGAGCCCTCATGGAGAACCTCTACTAGGGCAGTGGAGAGAGGAAATGTGGGGTTGGTGCCCCAACACAGAGTTCCCACTGAGAAGCTGCCTATTTGAGCTATGTGAGAAGGGCCACCATCCTCCAGGCCCACCAGTAGCTTTCATCTGTGCCTGGAAAAGCCTCAGACACTCAATGCCAGCCCATGAGGGTGTGTTGTATTTGACCGAATGTAGAAAGTTATCACAAGACAAAAGTATGCCAGATTGCAGGGTCATTTATTATGCTGGCGACCACAGAGGACTCACGTGTCTCCAACCTGTGGTGGCAACAGGAGGGTGCCACGATTTTTTATACCCAAAAAACCACCTTGGGAGTGGGGGTGAGGGGCGGGGATGGGGATGAAAAGGCTTCAGACAATCCAAGGGCTAGTGGATTCTGTAAATTACCTCCTGGGCAGAGATGAGGGTGGGGGTCTCCGGACATTCCAAGGGCCAGGGGACTTTTGTCATTCCGTTTGTTACTTAAGTGGTTTACAGAAGTCAAGATAAACATTTRTTTACAYATTATCTGGTTAAGGTGGAAATCACAGACCTTAGTTACTTATTACAAGTCACAGGAGCCAGGATGGAACTAGCTTGGGCTGCTTAGTCTGGCAATTGCCGGTAAGAAAAAGGCTAGCAATTCTGGCAGTTACTGATAAGAAAAGGTAAGCAGCTTTACATAGTTTTGAAGAACAAACAGCAGTTCTATTTACAGAGGCCAAGGACAGTAGTTATTGTGAGGAGAATGGGGCAGCCATTTCAACTTATCTAAAAACAGTTTTGCATTTTATAAAATAGTTTTGCTCCGGTTCTGGCTCTAGGCCAGCACAATATCACAGGTGGCTATGGGGGTGCTGAACCCTGCCAAATTACAGGGTCATAGCTGCCAAAGGCCTTGGGAGCCCACCCCTTACATGCCTGCATGTGGGATATGTAGTCAAAGGAGATTATTTTGGGACTTTAAGATTTAATGACTGCCCTGTTGGGTTTTAGGCTTGCATGAGGTCTGGAGCTCCTTTCTTTTGGCTGATTTCTCCAATTTGAACTCCTATTGCATCTTGGAAGTACATAAGTTGTTTTTGATTTTACAGGCTCATAGGTGGAAGAGATTTGCCTGTGTCAGATGAGACTTGGAACTTTGAACTTTTGAATTAATGCTGAAATGAGTTAAGACTTTGAGGGACTGTTGGGAAGGCATGATTGTAGTTTTGCAGTGGGAGAAGGACATGAGATTTGGGGGGCAGGGGTTGGAATAATACAGTTTGTGTCTGCGGCCCATCAAGTCTCATGTCGAATTGTAATCCCAAGTGTTGGAGGTGAGGGATAGTGGGAGCCGGCTGGATCATGCAGTGGGTTTCTTAAGAAGGGTTCACCATTGTCTGCACTTGGTACTGCTTTCATGATAGTGAGTGAGTTATCATGAGGCCTGGTCATTTAGAAGTGTGAGACATCTTTCTCCTTTCTCTCGCTCCTGCTCCATGTGAGACGTCTCACTCTCCTTTGCCTTCTGCCATAGCTGGAAGCTTGCCAAGGCCCTCCTGCAAGCAGAAGCTGCTATGCTTCCTATACAGCCCCACCTTCGGAACACAGCCATGGCTTAGATCACTGCAGTGGAACAGAGAAGGCTAACTGTAATGATAGTTATATATGGATCTAAAGCTTCTTTACTTGAAATGTTCCTGAACTGGCTGATATGTAGGAAAATCCATTAAATGTTCTAGATTGTAAAAGATGGTGAGAAAAGAAAAATAGCTCAGAGCAGTCTGAGCTATGTGAGGTGTGCAAGTTTTATCAGGCCCAGAGTGATGTGAGTGTGGGAATTAAGTCCTGCTCTCTACACCTATGCCTGGGGGCAACTGTTTAAAGGTATTTGTTCCATCCCTGAGCTCAACAGCTAGAAACCCTCTCCACTGACTGACCTGTGGACTCAGAAACTGGGTTTCCAACTATTCGCCTTTGTTTTTATTTTCATAGAAATTTCCCCTCATTAAATCCCTGATGGTTAGTACCATCTTGCAGCTATCACTTACCACCAAGTCCCAACTGAGGGTTGAGCTGGCTTTGAAAGAACAAGAGGCAACTGAATGAGAAAAGGAACTTAGATTGTTCAGAGTGGGGAACTGACTCGATTCTGAGCACTCCATTTCCCCTCTCGACTCTCCATGCCCTGGGGACATTTTGGTTTGAGAGCCCTACTCTCACCTCAAGAATCAGATTCAGAATCAAAGGCAGAGCTTTTTTGGGTGGCAAAGCTAGTGGCCCAGGCATCTGGGGCACTTACTCCTCCTCCACAGCACCCTGTTTAACTTCCTTCTGAGGGGAACTTCAGCACATTTTAGTCATGTGTCTGCTGCAGGGACAGGTAGGCTCGATTCCTAAGCTTCTCCCGGAGGACGGGTAGACCTAGGCCTGCAGGGGTGGTCTTTCTGCCTTCCTCGAACTTGGTTGGGTCTTGTTGGAGAGTGTGGATCTTAATTTAAAAAAACCTTTTTCTTTATTTATTTTCATAATCTTTTTAAAAAAAGAGTAAGGTGTTTGTTTTTACATTTTTGTGTCTCTGTAGAAGGAGAGTGAGGATCTAGGATTCCCGTGGAGGAAGCAGGGGCATTCCTTCCCTGCTTGGAGAGTCTTCCCTCAAGTGGAGACACACACACACAAGTACATGTACATACACCCTTGAAATCCCTTGCACCCATACAGATATATGTATACACCGAGGGCACACACCCCCACACCCATGCATGCAGGCTTAACACATATAGCACACGTGAACACATATATACACATATGCATGTTCCATCTGGCTTTCACCTCTGGGGCTACAGAGATTGGAGGAAATCAGGAGAGAAGACGAGGGGAGCCAAGGGAGAGAATGGCAGCAGAGGAGAGGGGTCCATTAGGGGAAGAGGTCACACTCCTCAGGAGACCAGGGAACTCCCTTTCCTGACACGACTCTCTAAAATCCTATGTTTCTCTTCCTGGACCTGGGAATTGATTCTCCAATAATTAAACCAGGTAGGCTCCAAGCTTATCTCTTTCTGGGGGTTGAATTCCTGTGGAGACTTGAGCTGAACAGATGAGTTCTCTGTGGCCTTTCTGGACTCTTCTGCCTTCAGTGACAAGGGAAGAAAG